CGTGCTGTGAGGGTGCTGTGAGGGTGCTGTGAGGGTGCTGTGAGCGTGCTGTGAGGGTGCTGTGAGGGTGATGTGAGGGTGCTGTGAGGGTGCTGTGAGGGTGCTGTGAGCGTGCTGTGAGGGTGCTGTGAGCGTGCTGTGAGGGTGCTGTGAGCGTGCGGTGAGGGTGCTGTGAGCGTGCTGTGAGGGTGCTGTGGGCGTGCTGTGAGGGTGCTGTGAGGGTGCTGTGAGCGTGCTGTGAGGGTGCTGTGAGGGTGCTGTGAGGGTGCTGTGAGGGTGCTGTGAGGGTGCTGTGAGGGTGCTGTGAGCGTGCTGTGAGGGTGCTGTGAGCGTGCGGTGAGGGTGCTGTGAGGGTGCTGTGAGGGTGCTGTGAGCGTGCTGTGAGGGTGCTGTGAGGGTGCTGTGAGCGTGCTGTGAGGGTGCTGTGAGGGTGCTGTGAGGGTGCTGTGAGCGTGCTGTGACTGTGAGCGTGCTGTGAGGGTGCTGTGAGGGTGCTGTGAGCGTGCTGTGAGGGTGATGTGAGGGTGCTGTGAGCGTGCTGTGACTGTGAGCGTGCTGTGAGCGTGCTGTGAGGGTGCTGTGAGCGTGCTGGCGTCGGCGCGCACATGACCCCAATTGCCATCGGCACCCCCCGCCCCCCCCCAGCTATTGCCTGGCCGGTGGGGGGGGGGGGGGGCTCTTCCCACTCTGCCCAGCGAATATGGGTTTAACAAACAAAAAACCTTCACGTGCATTTGGCCCCAATCGCTTTTGGGGAATATCCAGCCAGTGCCGGAAGTCGGCAAACGACTTCCAACCAATTCAGCAGGTCGCTTCTGAAAAAAAAAACAGGCTAACACCTCACTGCGCTTTGCCTCATAGATTGTGGATGGTTTAGTTGCACCTGCATGTTTTTGGGTGATCTGTTTACCTTTCTTGTCCGTTACACTCCTATCATGTTTTTTTTATTGTATGTTGTAACGTTCTTGCCCGCCCCTATTGGACATCGTGAAAAAGAGCTTTACAGCTCATCGGATTCGTCCAGTATAAATACATATTCTGAAATTCTGACAAGCCGTCACCATTCTATCACCTGATGAATACCGTCAGGCAAGCAATGCATTGTTAGGAGGTCAACAAATGTTCTAAGGAGAGACTGGTCACAACCATAGGAATGTGTAGTTTCAACCCACTGGCTCTGAAGAAAAACACCACCTAATGCTTCTCTTAGAATCAGCCAACACCGATTTGTCAAAATACTGTGCGTGTAAGCTCCAGTACCTTACAGCACTTCGATTACAAAAAGTATTCCCCGGCAATGGGTCGCGTGAATGCATACCACGTCTCACGGCTTTTTGCAGCATCGGCTATGCATGTTACAAGACAAAGGCAGGTTACAACTGTGAGAGGGAGAATGGAAAACGCATTACTTGAAACTGATGACTCAGCACGCACGCACACACACACACACGTTACCAGTTCTCCCCGAGAGCCTCTGGGGCCAAGTGGGCCCTGTTGTGTCTTTTATGACTGCCACTAATCAGGCATTGTTCCCCGCAGGCTGTGTGTAACACCGAGCGATGCCGGCGCATTATCAGTTTGCGGTTTCAACCGCACAGGTGATACATTGAGACGCAAGTGTGGTGAACGTGTGCGATGGAGAATTATAAAACAGCTACCGAACACATTGGCGCAGGAGTGAACCACACGTTAGAGTTGACATTACAAATGCTTCTTTCACGATGTTTCTGCTCTTCGTTCAAATCGTTGCCCTGAAGCGGTACGGCACAACGCCCATGAATGGTCGGACCCTTACCGCGTTGTGAAGCGATACAATCCTCCAGATAAGGGACTTGGCGGATTGATTGGCATGCAGTCAAGCAGTCCCACTTGCAAGTGTAGCGACACGTATGTCACGTGCAAGATCATAAATTCTCGAGACAACGGGATCTCCATCGTCCACACCGGGGGCTAAGTGGTAATCCGGCATTGCCTGGCCAACGGCCGTCACTGCCAGCAGTAATGTGCTGGTAACGGCCATCGCCAGGCAACCGGGCCGATAACGTGAAATTGCCGCTTTATGATCGGTGTGGCAGAAACGGGATTCCAGGTTGGCTAATTTCGCCTGCCGAGAGTTTTCCGTTGGAAACCGTGGGCATGTTCGGAAACGTCGCGCGTGTGCGCGTGCGTGCGTGAATGAGGCTTCTAGTGGGCTGGGGATGACGGGTGAAAGAGATGAGGAGTGGGCGAGTGGACGTGGGTGGTTGGGGTGAGTGGGTGTTGGTGGTGGGGAGAAGATGTGGGCCTGCGTAGAGGGGGAAGAGGGAAGCTTTGGTGCTCAGGCTAATGGGGCACACCGTGACGGCATTGCCTAGGAGTGGCAGGCAATCAATCGTTCAGGCGCATTGAGGATCTCTGCTTTTTAGTCATTGGATGATTTTAAAATAATGCATGCTGGCGTCACTTTTGACACTTGAGTGAGCTTACGGTTCCATTATTCCTTTGACAATTTTTTTTGGTTCTCCCTATCTGCAGCTTATATTAAATAGCAACATTACATTTGTGTATGTGGACGTAAAAAAGAGTCACGTTCTTCCACTTTGTATTGATTTTGATTGGGATGCTGGCGTCAGGAGCGTGTGTGTGGGGGGAGCGGTAGTGTAGCGGTTAGCGCGCTGCGCTACGAACCCGGAGACCCGAGTTTGATTCCCGCTCACGGCCAACACCAGTGACGATTATATCTGGGCCGGTCCTGGGCCTCCCCGAAGCCGACTCAGCCTCAAATGAGTTCCTGGTGTGCAAACATCGCCACTAGGGAGACATAAGCGGTCTGGCGTTGTGCTGGCCACCCATCCCCTCCGTGTGCTGTGCTGGCCTTCATAGTTGCTCGCTACCAACACTTGCCCCGACAGTCTGTTAAGGTTATACGGGGGATCTTCCTTTTTCTTGGAGCAGTAGTGCAGTAGTTAGCACTCTGCGCTATGATCCGTGCGACCCGTGTTCGATTCCCGCTCATGACCAACACTGGTGAGGATTATATCTGGACCGGTCCTGGGCCTCCCCTAGGTCCACCGAGTATTAAAATGGGTACCTGGCACAGTTTGTAGTAAACATCAGCACTGGACGTGGTTCTGGCCACCCACTGGCTTTCATGCATGTGTGGGCCTTCACAAATGACAGCGCTTGGCCCAACAGTCTTTTAAAGGCTATACTGGGATTGTTGTCTTGTTTAAAAGCAGTGCGTTGGTGAGCACATTGATTTCTCCACATGGCCAACATCAGCGAACTCAGACTCAGCCTTAAATGTGTGGTACAGTTTGGCGCCAGCTATCATAGAGTGCGGTCGAGTTGCTACAGTTATCTGCGGTGATCACAATGTATTTTAAAACAATGGCGCTATGCCTCTCTGAATAAAATTAACGCTGAGCTGCTTTCCGAGATTCGGCAGCGAACGGGACCCAACCTTCAACTTGCACACGTCTCGAAACGGATTAATCGGTGCTCCCTGATTGGACTTGGCTTAACAGTCTGTCAAAGGCGAGACAGGGGATCTTTGTATATGCATGTGCGTGTGCACATACACTAGCGAGTCCGAGGAATACCAGCTGCCAAACTGCCAAGGACAGCCTTAGCCAACCAACACTCCTGCCCTCAGACAGGTATGATCCACACAAGCAAATCGAACAACCTCAGACAAGTTTACACTGCAAAGCCAATGGACTTGTATATGGTGATAGCCAAGAACCGTCCAACATTTATAGCTTAAACCGTGCATAGCATTCCAAACTCTTCCAAGCAGGAAAATCACTTTAGCGCTCAGCTCAAGAAACGAGTCTCCTATAAATTATCACGTGATACTTTAACACCGAATGTTGGTGCTCTACAACTCGCTGCAATGTGGCGAAAAATGTCACCACACATTGGCGTAATAAAAGCCATTACAGGGAAATGGCTTTTGTGTGTAGTCATTCCTATCCTACAGCATGTTCGGTCTGAAGAGGGGGCTTAATCAATGGGTTAAAACACACATCAGATAAATGGTCAACACCTCTATCATTCTCGGTCCAAGCCTTGGTAACTGAAATGTATGAGGGGTTGAATACATAGTGACGGGATAGCGTATGCCAAGTTATTATTGATGCCTGGTAAAACAAAAAAAAATGTCTACAAAAATTGGAAGTCGCTCATTATGTGTACATAAGTCCTTTCCATATTTTAAGTCAAGTATTGAAGTTTTATTGACAACAATATGCCACAGGGCCAAATGGCACTTTTTGGGACCGCATGTCAAAACCGACTGAATTGTTGGCTGTGTAGCTTGCTCGTATGATTTGTTCACCATGGGTAATACAATGGGGAAAACATCTATATTTAATAAAATAACGTTGCTGAATGGCCTTCTGTCAATGAAAACTGCAAATCTCATCCAGTTGTCCTTTACAAAGTTGGTATGTCACTGCAATGAGGAGGGCTCTCTTACAGATGTAATTATTCCTAACCTTTGCTAATTATCATCCCCCTCTCGGCATCCAAACGCACACAAATTTAAGTGAAAATTAATCTAGGTAAATTTTTGGTCATAGAAACATTATTGCAAAATTCCTATCAATTGTTGGTGATAAAGGTAATATGCATTTGATGGTGGCTTATTCGGTAAACAGCGGTTGCATTGAAATGAAAAAAAATTGTTCATAACTTGCGAGTCATAGGCACAATTTATCCTGGATGTCATTTGAGGAAAAATGAAATAAATTAGCAATGTCTCGTGTGGATAACGAACAAGCAAATAAGTGGACAGCAGCGCTATTTTATGTGGGGGTCTTTTCTTGAGTTTTTAAGGTCACAACCAATAAACAGGTGGAATCATCTCGTGCAGCAACTTAACCTCCACATATTTCCATAAATGGGCAGCTGGCGATAGAATGGGAGGCCGTTATTTTTGAAGACCAGCAATGTAGCATGTGCATTTCCTGAGGAAGACAGGTTACAAGTCAATGACAGGTGACAAGTCAATGACTCACCCGATAGCTGTGCCGTCCTTGCGGACAGCTACAATTAGCTTCCTTCCGTTGCAGGTCAAACTTGGAGCCTCCCTCGGCTTGATCCATTAGGTAAGCAGAGTTCGAATCTTGCTGTGCGGAGTAACACTTGCAGAATAGAGACGGGGAGGAATCATTAATGGCATTACTTGTGTAAAGTAGGCACCGAGAAATATCCTGCTTCTGCTTGATACAAATTACCACCGCTGTCACGGGCGTTCACACGTTCATACATTCGCTTATCAAAAATGTGGAAATAATTGCCTCATATGTGTTTATATAACAGGAACACCTTTATCAGTAGAGGACTTCCATTCCCGATGTGTAATTATGGCTGTATGTGTGTACGTATGTATGTAATGTGCAAATAATAATACAAATATTGTATTTGCTGAAAGGATATGATAATCATTCTTTAAACCAAGAAGGTCAAGGTCAATATTGCCCCCCGGAAAACGTACACCACAACATGTGCACTGCATTGATATACTTTGCTGAAGCGGCATGTTTAGTTAATTAGTATTTACTGTGTGTGTGGGTGTGTACATGTAACAGTATGTTAAGGCTATATGCGGGATATTTGTCTTTGTATGCGTGCTCAGCAGTATTACACCTACAGAACGAGTTAAAGTTAGGTCAGGTAGCAACACGATTATATTAATATTCCATCAATGATTCCTGGTGGTCTAAGGCCACAAATCTTTTATTTAAAATGTTCTTCTGAGATGCACAAAAGAGATGAACCAACTCATTTGAAATGCATTACTGCCCAAACCCATGCCAGCGCTGCCAATAAAAAAAGCATCAGATCAGATCATTGTTCCAGGCAATGTTGGTTATTTTATAGACACCCGACTCCATCCATCATTTAATTAATACTTATTTAATTCTACGATTGGAAGGTATGATAAAGTAGCCAATTTATTTTAGTTCAGTTTATGCGGCAAATGTGGCACTGTAGGGAGAGTATTTGACTCACAAATGGACGGTTGTGAGTTTAAATCCCAGGGAGGGCCCACTCAGCGCATCATTCCTCTGCAGTCGATACCGGTGCTTAATTTCTACCAGAGCAACCCGTGACGCTGTACTGGGAGTTATTTTGACACGGCAAATCTATCTCGCCTTCACATTGTCCTCATGATGCTGCATTCAATTGTATAAACCTGGTCATTGGATTATAGGAACATACGGCACTATAATATAAGATTACAGTATTATGGTTAGGCATACCTCGTGCAATAGTAGTAGTGCCTTAACCTGATAATCCCTACTCCAAGCCAGCTTGGCAGTGTTCCGGAAGACATCGAGTAAGAAATTAAGCTCTGGTAAATACAGCGAGTGCCACTTTGTGGAAAGTTAACAGTGGTTGCCCTGTGCGAAGACACATTCCCACCTTTGCCCAAGGGCGACTAATTCAGAAGAGTGCTGCCCCATTTGCTAATTGCAGCGAAAAAAGACACTTTGACCTGTTGACTTTTTATTTTTTGGTGGGGATGGCTTTTCATTAGTGTTGGAAGTCCATTATTATGACAGGTTGTAACGGGCAAGTTCCCCGAGCATTGTGGAGGCATTTGCGAATAGGACATTCTGTCACGTGCGTACCTGAAATCCCGGGATGTCACAGCAGCTCTCCAGTTCGGCGTGCCTGGAGTCGCAGTATATGGCGAGTTTAAGGATGTCAACCTGTGCACAAATATCACAGCACAAAACCATTCTCGTTCAAACATTAACGGAAATCACAAATTTACGATGCATCATTAATCCATCAACAGCTGAATTTTTATTTGCTGTTGATGATAGTGACAATGGAATATCTGACTTGGTCCCATCAAAGTCACAAACACATTTTTTCGGGGGGCAACTCTGAGCATAATGGATTCGCATTGCTCGTGGGACACGCCTGTAATCCAGTGCTGCAGAAGCAGCGAGGGCTGGAGGATCACAAAAAATATGTTGTGATACTCGCATCCAATGTGCATCGAGGTGTCATACCCTGGCTTGCTAGGAAAAGGTAGTACATTAAAAATGTGTACTCCTCCTGCTCCATCTGTATGGGAAAGAGTGTTCTCCCTTCACACACGTGAGTATTCTACGGGTGCTCAGATTTCCTCCCACATGTAAACATTTATTAATTGTCCGATAACAGCTTAATACATAGAGGACCACAGAGCTTGGGCAATTGTTGGTGCGGATTCATTACATGCCTCTGGGTCATTCTCTCTCTACAAAAGTGAGTGAATATTGTGTGATGATTATGGTGTTATTGTCAGTGTTACTGATGTCAGTCTTGTTGCTGTTGATGTTCTCAGTGGTATTGGTGATGTTGGTGTTGATGTTTATTCTTTGGTTCTTTCCGTAAAGTCACGTAGGTGAAAAAATTAAATAAATTAAATCACGACAGTTTCGATTGCAACACAAGCAACCATTGCTTGTGACTTTACCGAAAGAACCCAAGAATATGGATCCTTGCAGTCACGAAAAACTTCAAATCTAGAATGGTGTTGATGTTCTCAGTGTCGTCGGTGTTGGCGGTGTAGTTGCCATCGGTAGTAGTAGCACATGCAGTATGGCAGCTCTGCACTCACTTCTGCTGACGCATCGCTGTTAACAGAGCTCCCAAGCAGCGTGAAGCCATCTATGGCAATGTCCTCCTTCGGCTCCGTTGCCCGGGTGACGCCAGGTTGGCAGTCCACGTGCAGAGAGGTCCGAGTTGGCTCCACGTGCAGCTCCAGGCGATGCCAGCGCTGGTCAAAGAGCTGGCCCACCAAGGGGCCTTTGAAGACGGCTCCGACGCGGTCACGCTGGCGGCCCAGTGCAGAGAATTCCAAAGTCTTTGCCTCGCCATCAAGTCGTAAGGACACCTTGGGGAAATAGTAGCAACAATCGTGTTGATTCATTGCAAGTTCAGCACTCAGTCTACCACCAGGATGTTTGTTTCATCTCATTAATGCCATATTCACCCACCACACTGCAGGTCAAAAAGATTATCTTTTCGTCTCTTTATTCACACTGCTCCACTTTGGAATTTCCTCCTCTCCTCTCATTATACCATTTCTCGATTCAAGAAACACATTGATTCTTATCTATGACACCTTAACACGTGCTGTCTATTGCTGGCGGCTGGGGATTTGGTCCTGAGAGATCCTGGTGCTGCTCTGGTCAGAGGGCCTGATTCACAATGACTGAGTCATGAGTTCTAATTTAGGGTCAATAAAACGTAACTCAAATTTTTTTGGGAAGTCACCAGTGGTTGTGTAGCTTTACACAACTGTCTCGAGACAACTGAAGACAATGTGTTCTGCCCAGTGCCCAGTTGAGCATGGGAAAGCACTCTGACTTTTGCTTCGTGATGTATTCTCAAGCCTTTCTGATTATCGTGATTTGGCTGGAGGGTTCGCTGTTGAGGAAGGGAAAGTATTACTAGTGGCTCTAGGACTGCATAATGATAAATAATTCACAAACAGTACATAATAGAGGATAAGCTAAAACAGTAAGCTTGAAGTCCAACATTTTCCGCAACGCACCGTTATAATTTTAAATAGCTTTTTTGGCTCATCACTAATGAATGGCGGTATGCATTTGTTGTGTTTAAGCCAGATAATCTATGTATTTGAAAATTTAAATTAATGAGTGCATTATTTTGATTGAAGAGCTGGGGTAAGGGAACGAGAAGATGGAGGGCCAACGGCTTATTGCAGGGATTTTCATTCACAAGGTTAGTTGTCTGGGCATGGCTGGGTTTTCCTATAGAACAGGTGGGTATTGTACAGGCTGGTCCCGATGTCTTGTGACCCGCCAAATAATTGACCCCTAACATTGTTTTTCTTTTACACGTCTGCTTTCGCGACCAATATTATTCATAATAAAGGTTTTTGAGGTAGATCGCGTAAGTGCAAATGTTTCGTAACCCTCCACCACCCGACACAGCGAGTGAGGTTCGTCACGTAAACAACGCGCCAATTAGTTGCTACTTCAGTCCAGCGGTGTGCTGGAGAGTCATGACGTCATTTTGCTCTATTTTAGACTGGAAGCAAGTGGATTGCTTTACTATGTAATTAACAGTGAAACGACGTACTCAAATTGTAAATTTTGTGGATTTACTGTCCAACACACCGGTGGGCTGAAGTAGTAACTAATTGACGCGTTATTTACGTGACGAACCTTACTGGCTGTGTTGGGTGATGGAGGGTTACGACACATTTATACTTACAAGATCTTACCCAAAAACATTTATTATGAATTGTTTTCCTTTGCATGTTTGTTTCTGTTTTACATAAACCTTACTTTTTAAATATTACGTTTTCATACGTGTCAAACCATAGGTTTACCCCATATACTTGTGTAGTGAGTTCAACTGAGTCGCAGACGTATACTTGGAGGCAACACATTGATATAACTCCAACACACGGGGTAACTTTCTCTTAACAGAATAACAACCTATGGTGGTGGCCACCAGGCTAACCACACTAGTTACAATGTAACTAGCTACGACAGTCAGGGACCACAGCTCGGGTCCAGGTCCACGTGTTGAAGACTCGTTGAGCCGAGAACGTAGACGAAGGTTTCTTCAGGATGAACAACAACAACGCCGGTCCCGCTGAGGACCCTGCTTATATTCTCTGCGGCGTGGCTGGCTCCGCCCTTGGCCACGACCACCTTCCAGAATCCTCGGGAAGGATCTGGATGCTAACCACGTGACCACCACTAGCCTCCACTTGGGCCCCTTTGTAGACTTAACCGGTCACGTGTCCTCTCGGGTCAACCAGAGTGCCATGGCCTTTAGTAACCTCATTCCTACGGCCGGCACTCCCACACCCTGTCCTGTCGGGTTGGCACTGCACGCCAAACTTGGTGCCATCCAGCGCTATCAATCAGCGCCCACCGGGCCCCTCTATGGCCGGTACTACACCCACACCCTTGTGGTGTCCGCGATGTTGTTACACCGCACGCCGTGCCTCTCTCGGGCCGGCACTGCGCAGTCACATCCCGCGATGTCACTATACTTGTACAGGAAAATTGAGTCTTCAGGGCCATACGGCGTACAGCCGTTTCAATACGGGCAAAAAAAAAGTAGTTTTGTCCCTTTGCTTGTATATCCCCCTTGTGATGGGACTTTGTAGGATGAACTTTGAGATGTATAAGGGCACGGGGTGACCAAAACGGTGTGAATTGGTCTGTAATAAGGTAGGCACCGATAAGGGGTTGACAGGTATGCGTTTTAGAGAATTAAATGGTGGTCACAAGACATCTGGTCCACCCTGTATATCAAACATCTAAATTCTTTAGCACATTTGTATGTATGTATGTTGAACGTCGTTTGCACCATACGTAGCCAACCGCGCTAATAAGATGTGCGGAAGTAAAAAATGTATTAAAGTATCTAAAATATAAAAAAACCTCTGTGTCATGTATCTGTCTCCATTAAAATGGGACATTCATTTTTTTGCAGCATTTATTGCTCAAAGCCTGGACCAAAATGGTTATATCCTACCAAAAGTACGCTATTGATCAGCTGATTAGTGTTCCGCCTTGACTACACTACAAACAGATACAATATAAGATTAACAGATACAATGCTAATGTTACTGTAAGTCCAGAAGAGTGACAGGATGAAGAACTTATTTTTACATGGAGATATAGAATGGAAGATTATTTATTTATGTTTTTACATAGAATGCTCCACCACAGTAAATCTTTTTTTATATGAATTTAGAATTCAATTTGCTTCAAAGTGAAAAAGAGCCCCTTAATGCTATTGGCTATTACTGTTATATACGACTATAGGCGTAACATATTACCCAATTTTCCCGTAACTTATCTAACATTAACCACCAAGGCTGACGGGTCTCTGGGTTTCCTTTGTGCCAAAAATGCCTGCAGCCAGGTGAGCCCTGATCATGCTGGAGGAATAAAAAAAACTGCCAATGGAGTTTACAATGATCACGTTAAGGGAAATGACGAAAAGAAACCGAGAAACGGTTTTTATTTTACCAGGAAAGGCTCACTGAGATATGTAGCTCTTTTTTTAGAAGTGGCATATCACGTGGAAATTTATAGTAGCCAAATACTCTAAATGCAAGTTGATCCTAAATGTGGAGGGAAAAACCAGAGTAAAATCCACGCAGTCACAGGGAGAACATACAAACTCCAAATATACAGCAGGTATCAGGGTCACGATCAAACCCACAACTTCCTGCAAACTACAAATATACAGGCGTCAGTGTCAGGATCAAAGCCACGATCTCCTGAAAACCCGGCAAGGTAGTTAACATCTCGCCACAATGGCGCTTCTTATAATCAACTCCCCTTTGAGAGGCAGCAGGGTGGGGAGAGGTAGAAAGATGAACAGGACAGTGCTCCTTGCAACTGCAATGTGGAAGGTTATTTAAACCTCAGGGCTGATTCTAAAGGGCCACAAACCCTGTTGGTTTTAACCGGTACCAGCAGTGTGAATTCCATCTATGTTAAATCTTGACTAAAGGCTTTCGTGACTGCCGGAATTCATGTTTTTTGGGTCTTTCGGTAAAGTCACGAAGATAGGTTCAAATAACCTAACTACGTGACTTTACCTATCTACGTGACTTTACGTGACTTATATATGTTCTTACTTTCTAAATGCATTATGATTGTTTCCTCAGCTTGCATGCTTGCAATAAAGGAGCCAATCTGTTTGTTTTATTCAGTTTTAGGAGTGGTAATTATGGATCGGTGTATCCTCTATTCGGCAGTTTGCTTTGACTGAACTACCAGGTTACTGCAGGTAGGCAGTACCAACGAGACACTACAAACAAGACCAAAAATCCATTATAGAATCAAGTGATGACCCCAAATAATTAACAACTCATTCGACGTAAAGATGGTGAATATGTAAATTCTCAGTTTTACATATTATTGTGCTAAAATGTAATGGCACAATAATGGTCGATAGCAGTATAACATGTGCTTTGTGTTGTGCGAGTGATTCATACTTGTAGGCAACGTACCTGTGATATGCCATATTTATCAACCACTTGCCACAGAATCCAGTTATCTTCCTGGGAGCCCTTTTGAACTTTAAACACCGCTATGAAGGTATATTCTTCGGGAAGACCATGCGGGAAAACCTTGCTGAAGAAACAAACAAGAAGAAAATCACGTTAATGGTAATGCAACGCAACGCAATGTCTTACAATAACCACTCTCTCTAATGAAAATTCTTGATTAATCAAAATAAGAGAGTGGAATATTCGCAAACACAAATGCAGCAAAACGTGACGTAGCCGCATCACAATTCTATTTTTGCGACATTGCGGTCGCAGTGATGCACAGGGAAAATATACAAAAAACGCATGACATTAATCAAAAACACTGCCTTAAACGGAAAAGTGTATGATAGGTGACGCTTTGATAACAGACCTCTTCGTAGCACAGCGAGGGACGCACGGTGCAAAGTGCAGTGTCCAACTTTTTATGCACTCTACCTCTTTGGCCTCTCTATTTTGAGACATCATTTTATCCAAATAGCTAAGAGGCATATTACGTTGAAAAGAGATGTGTATTTCGTGATACTGCAATTGCATTTGTGCAGACGTACACAAAACAAACGTCAATAGCACTGCCCTTAAAGGAAAATAAATAAATAACGGGTGAGAGCATAGACCATCACGTGACCTCCGGTGACCCTCGCAGCGGCTTTTGGCTCGCCATCGAACAAAGATAGTCACTGCATCGCGCACTTTCATATGCGCTTCTGCGGTCGTCTGGAACGCTCTTCCTTCCGATATTTGGAAACCACTGGAGCTATGCACTTTTTAACGTAGATTGTAAATAATGTCTTCAGAACTGCTTTTTTGTGCTTAGTTCGTTGTCCTTCTCCTGCACCTCCAATGATAACGGTTGACTACGTAGAGTGCAAAAGAGGTTCAACGTACATACATGCATGCATGGATACTTCTGTCAATGGCACTTCTTCCTCATCTCTCGGCTATGAAAAAAGGGCCATTGCATGATACGTTGTCCATCATATATTTAATTGATATTTTCTTCCAGAGATAGGCAGGTTCAAGTGAGCATGCCGGCATTGTGCACAGCAGGGTGGCATTGGCTCCGTAAGCATCGTCAATCTACACACGTGGTTTTCGTATATACCACAAGCATGTGTGTGGCGCCGACTGCACACCCACACGCATACACTCGAGCACACACGCAAGTACACACGCGTGCGCATCCACACCAGCCCTGTGGAATGTCTAGACTTAATGCTCTGAAAGTCGTGTGTTTCTTATGGATTTCTTAAGTGGGAAAATTTACTCCATCAAAATTTACTCCGTTTATATCTCTTGGGGTTTGAGTTGTGGTGCACTGATTAGCACACCGTCACTTTCAACCAGGCAAACAGAGTTCGATTTCTGGCCATGGCTAACCACCCCCCTTCACCCCGTCACTTCACCAACCTGCAGTGACTAGCAAGGTGAAGTATGGTCAACAAAACAACCCCCCCTCGTCATTAGAAAATGTTGCTTTATGAGGTTAACCTTCACAATGGGCTAATGTTTCAGGCCTAGGCTTTCTCCAGAGCAGACGTAACAAAGGGCATTTGTATGAAATGGTACGTATATAGTAAACCATAAGGCAGTGTTCAGTGTTTGTAACAGACAATTTTCAGGCTGGACTTTGGTAGCACTGTTAATAACGCTAGATGATTGCATGTGCTTATTTATACGTTGAAGAACAAATCTTAGTATATACACTAATCTGGGACATTGGGAAATGATCTGCCTGAGCATGTCACAGGAGTAAAAGAACACCATTATGTATTACTGGTCTCTTCTCTATTAGTTCAATCGAATGTATAAATTATACTAAATGCAATTTTACATGTAAAAGTAAAAAAAATGCAGCCGTGAAATGTATATTTTCACACCGCTGCTTGTGGCAAGGTAGTCCTCGAGACAGCCTGATCCCTTCACCTGATGAAGGCCGCTTGTGTTGTGGCCGAAACGTCGTGATTTTTGTTGTTTTATTTTTTACCTACGTGACTTTACCGAATAGAACCAAAGAGTATAGCCGAAGACTCTCTAGAGGGCATTTGGCTTACTCTTTCACGGTGGGTAGTACATCTTGGAAGAAAACATTTAAGTACCCACAATTTACTGCACCACACGTGACCTGGCGATTGCCTAACTGTGGTTTACACTGCTGGGTGGACAGAGGCGAGGAGATTGAATGAACTTCCCCATCGTTTCCACCGCCGCGCCGGGTGATTGTACCGGCGACCTCTGGATTGCCAATGGTAACATCTAAAAACAACGTTTTACTCAAAGTGTGCATTGCATTATAACAAAAAAACACTTGTGCTCCAATAAAATCGAGCATCACCAAAGTCAGCATATTAATATTTTATCAATGTCAACTCATTTTATGTGTTTACAAAAATATGTGTAAGTCGACTGGACCCGAGCTGACCAGTTGTTAACGGAAGGGCTGACATTTTTTTTCACTGAGCTGGTAGACCGAAATTTCAGACAAAATGTTTGGCAATTTCGCAAAAAAAAAAGTGGTTAGTGCTCACTGAGCCAGAGCGAAACCTTTTTACGCCCTTGGCTGTAAATACATTGAAACGGAAAAAAACAACCTACAGCCTAATGGCTGCCGTCTGAATAAAATGGGGCTAAGGATTGTGGTCATTTATGCGCCTGCCATTATTTCTAGAACATTTAGCAGGGCTTCTTAATTCAGAGCTGGCATTTCATGGCATGCTTACTATAATGTATGTACACACTCACAAGCATTTATATTCAATATGCACGTCCATGGTCTTCAATGCATGTATTCATTTGTTCTATTGACAAATGTTGTCTTCGAACAGAATGCTACAATAATGAATGATATTCTGTATTAGTCATAATAATTTTATTATATTATTTATTTACTTTTATATGGAGCATTTAACACTACTTACGACTTAGGCAGTCAATAAATTTAACCAATATTGTGTTAGTGTGCACATTAATGCTACATATCTAAGAGAGGGTAACAACATAAAACAGAAGTATTGAACAAACACTGCTTAGTATGCGCACATACATCTGGGCTGCCCTTATACAACCCTGGCAGTACAATCAGGGTTGTTGGAATGATATTGACTTTCTTAACAAGACATTGCACTTGTCGCAATATCAAAGTAAAAGCGTCAACACGCTCTAATGAGTACGTAATGGGCAACGTTCAACTCCACTGGTGGTCATCACTCATTGGTTGAAACTCCATATTTCAATGCCACGAAGCTGTGCATCCATACCCAGAAGCACAATTGACTTCCAACCCAATGCTCTACAACATGAGCTATTTGAACAGTAAATGTGCCATATATATACGTTTACCACTACCCATGGGGCTGTGATGTGGCAGCGATGGTGCGTTCGCTGCCAGTTGTAGAGGTCTGTGGTTCGAATTCAGCAGCTGCCGTGGTTAATACCGCGGGTGGAAGGAAACTGTAAAAAATACGACGTGCCGTCTGCTTCACAGTGCTCACGAAAGAGCCCCTGGCGTCAGTTCAAAAACATTCGCCAGGGTGTGCCGGCGTTATGATCCGACTTTTGCCAAATGCCTCAAAATTTAGCCTCAAATTACGCAAATTTGGATTATACATAGCAACATTGTTTCGTTCTTTACATTATTGCAGACTATGTCTGTGAAACACAGCACATTACGTGATAGCCTTTGCACTATAAGAACGATGCGAATACCAAGTGTCCGAAATGATTATACAGTACACTGTAATGAAATACTGTATGTATGTTTACTCTATGTATCGGGCTATGCATACATAATTTATACATTTGAGAATGTGAGAGTGGTACGGTGCTTAGCACACTGCGCTATGAACCGGACGAGCCTGAGTTCGATTCCTGAATGCGCCTACGGTAACATCAGTGGCGAGTTACATTTCAGTTGTTCCTCTGCCTCCTCCCTTTCGCAAACCCAAGCTGACCAGTGTGGTGAAGTATGGTCAAAATGACCACCACAGGGAGGTACAGCCTTTATCCAGCAAAGGATTGAGAGATGTAATTAACGGACTCAATAAATCTGTTCAGCAATTTTTTTGTACCATCCCACGTTATAAATATATAACAAGTGTAACACATTCAACATATTGTGACAAAGAGATGAACACATACGAATTATTCAAACTATTGCATCATGTCAGGAACGAAGCAATTAGGCAATATATGACACCCAGAACAAAAGGGGCTTTGAAAACATGACCAGGCTTGCAAAAAGACCCACATGCAAACTGTCTAAGGAAGGAAACGTGAGCGTTAATCTATAATTGTTAAAGGCAAGCCAGACCACAACAAGCTAATGGGCTCCAGGAAGATGTTGGTGTTGACCTAATTTCAACAGGAGGTGCTGACACGGTTATGTCCTCAGTACATTGACACGTTGAGGCTTGCACAGCTGCTTACATAAGTACCTTCATCCTTTTTTTCACCATCCAGCAAACAGGGGCGATTTGTAAATTGGAAGGAGTGAAGATGTCACTGATGATGTGTGCAGCTGTGCATACTAGCATGTTAGCGTAATCAAGTCACTCCGTTTCACTTGTACGGAAAACGAGCAGTCAGGGTGCCAGTGGGTCGCTGCACACTGCCTGCTCAGGCACCTCCGATTAGCACGGTTGACTAAGTACGGTATGAAAAAGGTTCTACATACATACGTACTTAATACGGATCCGTCGGTGGCTGAGAGCCAGCGGTTGAACTGAAACTCACACGTTCTCATAGCGGGGGTGGGGAGCAGTCTGTTCATTGTAGGGGGCAACCACTGCTGACTTTCCAAATAATTGACGGTAATTTTATTGACCACTGAAGTCTTCTGTAAAAAATAGAAAAAAAACTTAATTGTTCATTTCTGCTACAGCTAGAGTTGCTGCCGATGAGAGTTACAAAACCAAAAAAATGGGACATATCGTGGGAAGAAGAATATCTCAGTACCATCAGAGGGAAAAAAACTTCATATATCTGGAGTGGTGCATTATTCTGCAACTGAAAAAAACTGGGGACTGTTAAGTTCCCGGGAAGACATACAGATTTCTCGGAACAGCGGCCTCAACAATAAAAATCCTAGCAAAACAAGGACAGCTGGCAACTATAGGTACGTCTTTACAGGATAAGCTACGGCATCAACTCTCGGTGCCTTCAAAAGGGCCTGCGTAAATATCAACGCCAGGATTCTCCGTCACATCGTTGACTCAGACGATGACGTTTGTTGTGGCTGCAAATGCGCATTTGAGTGACAAGCGTGCCACAGGTTGCTCACAACACTGCCCGCGAGGACATGCCACGCGCCAGGAGATGCGGCACTTACTCAGTGGGCTGGGAGATGGGGTTCCCCCTTAGGCGGAGTCGGGCTTCCTCGTCCTGCGCAGACTCGGTCGGTTGCGCCACATTTTCCAGGAGAGCCAGCCTCTCCAGGAGGTCGAAACCTGCGTCAGCAGAGGCAGCAACAGATGGCAGAGTCGTTTCACGGACTTTAGTGTTTAATGTAACGGGAAACGACCATGCATGCGAAGTAACTGTAAAAATGTGAGCGGCAAGAAGCTGATGGTGGTGCAATGGAGCAGTTTCTGCTTTCATGAGCTGCCCGTTTATGTTCTGAGCTTACATAAAAAAAAATCACTCCAAGTGAAACTGGTATAACAGGTACTGACTTGAGAGGGGAAAAAAATCTCACAACCTCTGTCATTAAAGCTGCCTTCGAACAGAAATATGTATGTGGTAGGTTAATGTTGCGTGCAATGGCCCATCTTCAGTTGAGAGGAGGTAGCCAGCATATCCACTGATTTATGGCTGGAACATTCATTTAATTTATGGTGCCTTTAAATATGGGAGACATTTGGAAATTGTCAACATTCAGCATTGCATTGCATAACTGCTACTTGCATATTAATACTGTGGTGTCATTTGCGAGGTAGATATATAGCACACGTGCATATATTTAATACAGAAAGCAAGCTGCTTTCACACCTTTACACAAAATGTACTTTAAAATATACGATTGATGCACATGTATGGTTATGGATAATGTGAGCTTCAGGCCATAGCACATGCTTTACAGCTTAAATATTCTGGAATCTCCATTTTTCTGGGGCATGAGCACGTGAACTCGGAGGAAACCAATGATTGTAATTGTATTCATTATTACACTCGGATGTAAATGTATTCATTACCAAGGGTGCTATAAAAATAATACTGAATTCTTAATATTTCTCATGTGTTTTATACGATTAATCCAATAATATAATAAAAATAGTCCTTTTGAAAAATCGACATTCCATACTTTTACATTACTTTTGGAAATGTCTCAATGATGTCCACATATGATATAACTGCGACCATTGTATTATATACATGCACACGCGTGGGGTGTAGTCAATGAGCTGAAAGAGGATTTTTAACATACACATTTTTAAGCACTTTATTTGTTATGTAGTTATTCTAAAAAATATATACATTTATCAGCCATTAAAATACATTGTATTAATGCTGCTGATTTAGTGATATAGAATAAAACATGTTTTTCCCATGTAAATTGAGAGTAAAATCAAATCTTGATATTTAAACTAACCGATATAGAATCTTAAATATAACAGATATGGTGAGAGGATTTGTGTTGATACTGCTAATTCGAAACAATCAGGATTCAGATCATAATATTATTACTACGACCACTATCGCTGTGTTAAATTATACCAATAGCTATTTGCATAATCCCAATTGTTCTCTCTATGAAGTGTTTTGGATAGTTGAACATGACATTTCAACTGGAGATTGTCAGCCGCTGATATTAGCAACAGCATCTGTGGGTCCGTTTTTAAATACCAGTGCTTAAAATACAAGAAGCAAAAGACTAAAGCTCGCAGTCACATTTTGAAAGGTGCTCTCCGGAGTTCAACACTACAGCACTCAGATTGTAAATGTTGTGGATTTGCTCTCCAACACACCAGTGTGCTGTGCTAGCAACGGATTGGCATGTTCTGTTTACTTGACAAACCATACTAATTGGCTGTGTCGGGTGGTGGTGGGTTTAACGACACATTTACATATTTACGCGATCTAACCCAATAAACGTATATAATGGACTTTGGCTATTATAATTTTAGTGATGTATGTCGCGTGCAATTATTCATCAATTAATTGATTAAAATTAAGTGTTACTTATGTATGTATGTATGTTGAATTTCTTTCGCGCCGTACGTAGTCAACTGTGCTTATCGGAGGCAAGGAGAGAGGACAACAAACTAACACACAAAAATCAGTTCTCAAGAAATTAGTTTTCAATTTACACATGATAGATGCATCCAATTGTATATGAGAGAATTGCTAATGGAGCATTTTGACTAGATTTGGGGTTTCTGGGGATGGAGGATTATGAGGCGGAGGTGGAGGGGGGGAGGTTAATTGCTATGCGCCAAATCAAAGTGACATTGAAGATAATGCAGAGAACTAAAATATTTCAAAACAGTCATCATACTTTTCAACTTGTACCGCACACAGTATCCGCTCACTCTCATCGAGACAGAACGACTCAGAAGCACGAACGATCACAAACGGGAGGACAGCCACAGGATGAGCCGGTGCCAACAATTGCCCAAGCTCTGTGGTCCGCTATATATTAAGATGTTATCGGGAAATTAATGAATGTTTACATGTGAGGAGTAAACAAGAGCACCCAGACAAACTCAAAATATACGCCATATATAATTTATATATATAATTTAGACATACCTATGAATGCCAATAAAGAACTATGAAGTCACAATTAAAGTTTAATCATACACAGAAAAAAGTTACATACAGATTTCCATCTCTATTTTAACACACATACATACATTGGTATTTGTGATATAAACCTGGTGACCTAAGCTCGATTGCCAATTATAGTTAATGTGAATGACGAGTGATATCTGAACTGTCCATTGTGATGAAGTATATCCAAACATCACTCAGAACTGACATCCAGCAGTGGATTGTTACATTTTTTTTGTTACATTTTACATTTTTTTCCATTAAAAATTCATAAGGTAAATTAATACATCACATTATCCTTCAACCATGCACGATAAGTCCGTCATCTCCACGTCATGCCAATTATGTCAGATACCAATCACCGGTCATAACAACTTTAAATAGTTTTATATTCCGCCCCTAGTTTAACTCATGATCAAATCACTATCCCGATCCCTTCCGTCGTCAGTAATTTGGAAATTACTTTGGTTGATTTAGTTGTGTTTGCATGGCTATAAATACGTCCTTATTACCCCAGTTAACTCAGTTGCAAAATGGCAATGAAGCTGTTTATTTATTTAGGATATGCTCCTACATTGCTATCATATTCCAAAATATAACAGTAAATTTGTGAATTTAAATTTGCATATGTTCTCACCAATTTGCATATGTTCTCACCAACTACATTAAGCACTGCTCCAATAGACTCAGATTTAATTGCACAGAAGCACTATTTCACAATTACAAATGCAAATCATTTTGAAGGCAAGGAAAACAACCGTAAACGCATTGCTCTTTAGATAATGTTATACTACTTCGTATTTTTATTTTTAATAATGTTACACTTGCATTTTTCATATTGTTTCGTAATTTCTTTAAATTGTATTTTTCATATGTGTTATTTACACAGTACAATTCGTTTGTCGTTTGGTGTACTTATTTAAACGCATGTCCTTTGAGATAAAGACTTCAGGGGACCAAATCATGAAATGCGTTTGGTAGTAATTCCAACACATTTGGCATAATGATGGCCATGTTTGTGGAAAGCTGGCCCCAATTTGTAATTTCCAATTCATGGAGGACCCTTTTCCTCCAATTGCAGACTGCATGCTGTTATGAATCAGTCCGCATTGTGGGTGAGGCGAAAATGAAGTAGGGCAAAGCAACAGGATTGTGGAAACTTTAAACAATCCATACTCTTAGGTTCTTTCAGAAAAGTCACGTAGGTTTAAAATAAAATAAATCACGACGTTTCGGGCGCAACACAAGCGTCCATCATCAGGTGGGAAGGCCATGGTCTACTGCTGAGGCAGACTGTTTTAAAAGGTTTGAAATGGGTGTAGCTCAAGGGTTATAGAGAAGTGGCCGGGGCTAGTTATGTTAATGTGATAAGTTAGCATGTAACTGTAAGATAGGAGAGCGGCCTCCTAAACGAGGGCACGGAAGTGGCTATGTTAATGTTAGGGATTAGCATGATGTTAATGTGAGAAATTAGAGGACATGGAAGTGGCTATGTTAATGTGAGAGATTAGCATGATGTTAATGTGAGAAATTAGAGGGCATGGAAGTGGCTATGTTCATGTGAGAGATTAGAATGATATTAATGTGAGAAATGATTATGTAACTGTAGAAAAGAAGGAGAAGAAGAGCGGCCTCCTCGACGAGGGAGTGCAACCCAATGGGTGTAATTCGAAGGGCCTGTGAGTATGAGAGTGAAATCCAAAGGACATGTGAGCATGAGAGTGCAATCCAAAGGCATGAGAGTGCAATGCAAAGGACATGTGAGCATGAGAGATCTAAGATAGAGGCATAGAGAAAGAGAGACACAGAGAGTCGAAATAACAGCTGACATAGGCAGGCTGGATGGAAACATCACAGTTCGTTAAGGCTTTACCTGGTTAATAACGTCCTTCCAATGATTGCTCAGTTTGTACCCATCCTCTCGGTTGAAGTTGTGTCTGTGTTTATATATCTGGATGGCTTCATGAACAAATCTCTGAAGGTAGCCGGTAGGTTTGCAGAGTACCTCCGTCGTGTGAGCCCACAGCGTACTCGCTAAAGGGTTGAATTTCGCAGTAACCCCTAAACATATCCCAGTGGATGATATAATCGCCCAGGTTGATGTAGCCCTCAAAGGCTTGGGACACATCCCGGCAGACGTTGCTAGATCTGAAATCGCTGCTATCCTCAAAAACGCTAAGAAACCCATTAGCAACATCACCAAGGACGAGCGCTACTAAAACCAACAATATCATCACTAAATCAACTTCTCTAATCGATCAGACCAAGCAGAGCTCCCTAAAACCTTCAACTGCTAGACCACCCATATTTTATTGCCTTCCAAAAATCCACAAAGAAGGTACCTCGCTCCATCCTATTGTCTCCACCATTAACTCACCCACCAACAAACTGGCCTGATTTCTGTCTGAGACTCTGCTTCCTTTCACTGGCAAGTCCACCTCAGCTGTACTTAACTCGGCTCACTTGGTTTCTCTAATCAAGGACATCTCACTATCTCCAGATGATTTGCTTGTCAGTTTCGATGTAGTCTCTTTGTTCACCAATGTACCTGTACCTCACACCATTGCATTCAGTCCAACAAGGACTGAATCCAGATGTACCAACTTTGGTAAGGCACTGTCTTACCAACACATACTTCACCTGGAATGGTACATTCTACAGACAAAATGAGGGTACC